AGAGCGAAGGGATTTCGTTTTGGCATGTGGCATTTGGCATGCGGGTCATCGAATTGGGTACAGGAACATAACCTAGATATGCATGTCCAGGACTTGAAATTACGTTTGTGATGTTGGCAGTGTCCTTACACCACCAGGGTGGCAGCTGGCAACTCCACATGGCATGTGGAGATGCCAGCTCAACTTATTGCTTTGAACACCCCAGTGCGCAGAGACATTATAAGGCCAAATCTTGAGGTTAGCCAGTTGAGCGCTGACCCGAACACCTACGTTGGAGTGCTTACAATGAGCTCGGGCACCACACTCAACACCGATTCAACCGTGCTCACACAGAGCCTCACAAGGCAGCTCTCGCACGGAGGTGGAGTTTACATGCTACCACTATTCCTAAAGTCGTGTCACATCTGTAATTCTTGCTACAACTTTGTAAGTTCAACTCAATCAGTCAATCCCTCACCATTTTCGGATTGCATGATCGATTTGGGGTTGAGATGGGTCTCGGTTTCATTAGCCATCGCCATAGAACACGATATTCACATGCTTGTCAAAAATGCCCCTATCCAATCCTATGCAGGTCTTCAGTTCCCCACATTGTTGCATTGACCATATTCCCAAATGTCCCAACACGTTGCCCCAAAATTCATGCAGAACTTTGTGGTGGACAATAAGAGGCACTACTACACCCTTTCAAGAATATTGACATCAATAATAAGGTTCTCTGTGCTCACTGTTCCTTCCATGAGCAAAATCTGGTATTCAACATTTGGCCGTTTGTGTCTCAGTCTAATCTCTATTTCTGGTATGTATGACTTTCCTAACATTGGAAGTCTGCTAGGTCTTTCACAGATGGAGGTGTCTCTTGAGCATTGGCCACAACCCTAACACGGTTCTGCTGCACTATTCCCAGCAAATGGGGAAGAAAACAAGAACGATGATTGGTGGAAGTCCTCTGAAGAGTATTGTCACATTGACAGCAGATGACTGTCATTTAGCGCATTTGGGGCAGTAGTACTCTGCATGCTTGACCACACAGTCAGTGTAAGCGGTTTTGCAGTACTCCCGTGCAGTAGGCCATGCTCGAGATCTAAAAACAGGCAACAATACACTTCCCACCATACGCATAGTCGCACAGTTGGTGGTAAGTGAAGTCTCTAAGGCGGATCTACCACCCTCGGTCATATAAATAGCAACACCTTCTAAAAATCGGTGTTATATATTACTCACGAACCGGTATTTGGTCAGACACGCACACCAGGTCGGCCGGAACTTAGTCTAATCAATCCACTACTACGTAAACTCTATTTCAGTACGGCTTGTGACCCAGACCTCCATGTACCATGCAGGTCTACACGCTCCAAAACTCCATACTTCAGCCAGCACGAGTCAATGGCTAAGATGGATTAGTAATTACCCATGCATTCCAGCTCCACGAACAATATGCCTCCCCAAACCTACCCAACATGTCATAGCTCAATATCCTTTCATGCAAGCACCTATTGAGTGTAAACATGCACTCTATATTGGACCCAATCCCAGGCCTCTGCGTAACTCATGCTAAGTTACCTAGCATTCCAGATCCCAATAGGCCATGGTCAGAATTGGCACTGGTCTCGGTCAAAACGCATAGATACGCCCCGCTCCGCACACCTACCTTCCCCGGCTGGTCGGAGCCAACCCTCAGCAGGCCCCTGACGATTGGAGTGGTGCTGCCCCGTCTACCCCTGTCACACCGGATGCTTCGAGCACGAACCACGGATAGCCAGCCTCCGCGTAAACTTGCTCGAGCTCACGGGTGGCCACCTGCCATGGTGCACACATATCAGGCAAACCGCAAGACTTGCTACAGGATAACCCGGGCTTGTTCGGCAATGATACACCATCCCTCTGGTTAACCGCCGAATAAATAGCCTTGCAACATACCGTGTCTCCTTCTCACTCACACCGAACCTCCGCCCACGTCCAACACCAAGAACTCCGTTGCAAACACGCACACAGCCCCCGTGGCCCTGGTGTTTCCCTGGGTCTAACTACACTGGTGTTGGCTACCCCTTCGTAATGGGAACTTCTACCACTAACCCAACACTAACTGCCCAACTTTGACCAGCAGTCCACCAGCTCGCACTCCGACTCCGAGCTATCCTCTTCATTCAAAATTTTCGGCAACATCATGGTGAACCGGCCTTGCGTCCGTCCACCTCCACGCGGTCAGCGCACTCATCATCCCATAGTATCCAAGCCTGTCCGTAGCTCCTGCCTCCGCCCTCCATAGCCCATGCTACTCCAGTTTGCTGCGCCACGTCAAACTGCACTCCCCACTGAATCTCAGCTTGAGCCTCAGCTTGCCAGGGAACCGAGAAGCGGTGTGGCGTAGCGTGTGGTGTTCGAGTGCGCTTCAGCGTCTGGGATGCTTAGCTGTACCAGGTTGCGTGAGTACGCTCTAGATGTTGTCGTCGTGTCCGGGCCTGGTTGCCGTAGTCAGTAGTCTGATAGTGTCCGATAATCCCCATTTGCTATACGATTTCTTCTCGTGGCCATCAGCTCCAACGGCCAAGGCTCCCTTGCCAAGGCAATCTGGGCCTCACGGGGCACCAGCTTGATGCAATTGAGGGTCGCATTATGATGCGATAATGCTTTCGTTATTGGTGACCCGCGCACTTAGAAATAGCTCAAGTCGATCCACCTGTTCTGAAGGGTAAGACAAGCCCCCCATGCCCGTCCTAGGCCCCGGCAAAATGCAAAACCGCATTTCATCTGCACCCAACATATTGCAAGAACAGCAGCACCGTTTGCCATGCTAGTGGGCTCTTTGGATAACTTTTGATATGGCATATCAAAGTCTCTTCATTCAATCTTGCTGGCTCACATATTTTGATACCTGTTCGTGCAAATTACAGATGCGACACGACTCCTGGAGATAGACAGAGATAATACTTGCCAGTACACTGCTCCAGGTTCGAACACAGCTTTCCCTGCCAACGGTGGCATGAAACACGGCCAGCTTTGTTCGTCTTTCACCATCACCCGCTTGGCTCTCTGTGCCCAGGATCCTCATCATTCACAAGCGCCCATACAACAGTTCAGCCATGTGCCAATTAACCACAACAGCCACGTGCAGAACATGCCATAGACAGGTTTTCACTCAGAAACCAGTTGTGGCATAGGCTGCTAGAATAACGATTCTCCAACTTCACCAAGATCAGCATGGGGAGCAAACAAGCAATACGAGAAGTTCGGCCCTTCAACACCACTTCATCATTCAAACATTGCATTCCTGGCTACTCAGATTATTCTCGTGGTCATTTGAGATATTCAAAAGTACTTGCAGCCACATTGAGCAAACAATCAAGGTATTGTAAAGTTATGAGGGAAGCACAGCCACATTTTACCCGCAAGATTTCTTGCAGACAAGATATCCTGATCGATCCATTTCTAACTGACCTCCCAGGCATGTTTACATAGGAGCTCATGCTGTCCCAAACAGACATATGGGTGATCAGAATAAGCACGAAAATTCGAGCCAAACGGATTCAATGATCCACGAAGCTCTTCATCAACCTTTCCAATAATTTTGTAAGTGGCAATCTGCTTGGGCCTTCCCTAGTAAAACCAAAGGCTCTTTTTACGTGTGTTTTGACGTCTTGTGGCATGGACCACCGCAGTCAGTGCAGATCCACGGCGCCTTCAGCACAAGTTCCCTATCTTCTTCCCATCCATCCTGTTTGGTTCCATGTGATATTTCATGTGGGACTCGTCTTTCATCTGCCACAGCACGGGAAAGAGCATCACAACATTCCTTGACAAGAGGCAAGGCCTTAATGTTTTGTGGGAGTCGGAGAGCGAGCCAGACTCAACCCCTGTTTAAAGGCATAATGTAGGTCTATTCCCTCAACTACGGAATAGCTCATTTAATTGATTAGCTCATGTAGTTTTCACATCGGCTGTAGCGCAGCTCCTCTGTGCCACAGGCATGTACCCGCGTCCCCACTTTCAGCAGCACTTTGGCGCCCAACCGTGACAAAATCTCCCTGGTGTTGCCCACTGTGCGCCTGCATCGCGGAAGTCAGTGCAAGAGTTCGTCTTGTCTTGTGCTACATATGGAACAACAACACTCTCACCCCTCCGCTGACAGACGCTGAATACAGTGGGAAGTTGACACAGAAAAACGTCTGCAGCTGATGATTGGCTAGTCAAAAAGCAATAAAATCAAGCAATGAAAACAGCATTGCAGTGTGAGCGCCATCTCGACCAGCCATAGCAAACGCTGAGGATCCCTCATTCAACGCGGAAGGGACCTGCCATTGACACGAGTCGGCTAACCGTCCACGACTTAAATGAAATCACAAAATTCATTCAGAGCCAATACCCTCTGCGGGCTGTTGCAACCCGACTAGGTTTGCTGTGTCCCCACACCTATCCCCCTCACGTGTGCGAGCGCATGCGAGCACAGTCCTTGACCTAAACCTACACCCGGGTACCAAGCCCCAGACTCGTCAAACCTAACCATGCTTCAAACAACAGCTCCACCCTGTGGAGCCAGGTCTACTGACTGAGCGATTCCGCCACACCACTGAACCACCAATGCAACCCAGCACCCAGCCAGGGCCCCAGGTCACATAGTGCTTGACCTGTCTCGCTCACTCTCTGTGAGAGGCCAGGCCAAACCTCATGCAGCTTTGGTCCCAATCCCTCGTTTCTCATCCATGCTCCGCACTCTGTGCTGTCAGACTATCGCCTGTGGCCGCAACCGCATCAAGACATGGAGTTCGCAGCCCCAACAGCATGGCGGGCACATGTGCTACTGCTGGGCCGATGCATCTCTCGGCCCAGCGCCACAGTCCCCCCAAAGGCCGTCTGCCATGGCTGCAACCTGCGATGCCATCGCGCCTTCCATGAAGCCAGAGCCTAGAACATGGAGCCCCGGCTGCAGCGGGGTCAGCCGGCTCGATTCGCTTGGATGTTCCGCACCCTGATCTCTGGGCAGCCTCTCCGCTGTTCCCCCATCAGGGTTGGCCGCCAAGCGAGCTGGTGGGCCCATGGTTGGACAGGCATCCCCCACTCATGTATCCATGCTGCCCATTGTGGCCGATAGGGAAGCCGACAGAGTTGCCAGTTTGTGTGTAGCCAAAGGATCGGGTGTCGCCACTGTGGCCATGCGCCTGGAGGCCTGACTGGTAGCCAAACATTACGCCACTGCCCTCAGGGGCGCCGGTTCGAAGGCCGTCAGTCCACATTGGTGTCTGGTTGCTTGGGGCCATAGGCCCAGGCGTTGTCAAACCTGAATGTGGGGCAAGGATTGATTTCAGAAAGCAATGCACATGGCGGACCCACTGCCATTCCTGTGTGGGTGTTGTTGCTGTTGTCAGCCTGCATTTGTCAGTAGTAGGAAGTAATGTATCTCTCCCACATGATAGCAGGTCTCTCCAACTAGGTCCTCAAACTGCAGAGCCGTCAAATGAATGGTGTCTGCTGGCCAACTCCTTATGGACAAGCGAGTGCTTTTCCAACTAAAGGATTCTCCTGGAACGAGCTCTCTAGAAGAGATTACCAGGACTATTCTAATCTAATGCTTTTTCAACTGAGCACAACTCCTGGAATGAGCTCTCTATGAGAGATAATCAGGAAAGCTTCCTTTAGGTATGATGAAACACACAATTGCCACAATGGAACTGCAGCATCTGTCCAGACGTTCACAGAGTGTGCAAACCATACAAATGCATGGGCTACAATCCTAAATCAAATCTGCCTTCAACAGACGAAGTGTGCCCCTTGCACTTTTCAGTCGCAAAGGCACATATGCACCATCATCAGTGGGCCAAATCAGCCAGTCAATCAGCATGACACAAGCAACGCTGCGCAGAACTGACGTTGGCCAAAAAGTGATTATGTGTAGACACCAAGGGAGTGCAATCTCAAACATCACCCAGCACAGCTCCAGGGGCATAGCATGGAGAATGGCAAAGGTAGACTTGGGGCACGACAAGTTCACTAGGCTGAAGTGAAGCCAAACAAGCAAACTAGCCCAACTACTCTGGACCAACCAAACATGACTGACAATGCAGACTTGTGCGCAGAGAACAAGGGCAGCCCCCACAGTGGGACGGGAACCAGGCGACCTGTGGTCGCGAAGGCAGCCAAGTCAAGGTCAAAGCCCACAACCAATGACAAACCACGCTTGAATGCACTGAAAACTCTTCATGTATGGGCTGAACTCAAACGAGCAACGTGCCCCCCCGCAACGATGGGGCAGAGCAGCGTGGCACGACATGACGAAACGGCAGAGCGGCTCTGTGTGGCGAGGCATGTGGCTAACCTTCTTCAGTGGCAGAAGGTGCCAGCATGCTTGCTGCAGATCTTGTCATTCCTGCCAACCACGTTCGCCCCTCAAGGCCCTCAACAGCACACTGAAGGCTGCAGCATGGGGTCAAGCTCGTTGGCTTCACAGGTCACTAGAAGAGCATGCACCAGGGGCTCAACGCCGTGGCGAGCTAGCCAGCGTGGGGAGCACCACAGCACGGTGCGTGTTGCACTACCAGGGCCAGCCCTCTCAAGGATGTTGCTGTCAACAGCGATCGGGGTGCCGCCTTGTGGCCAGTGCTGGTCCTCGAGCGGAACAAGCACTGGGTCACAAGTTGCAGAGTAGGAGGCCGATCGGCACCTAGGACACCGCCGCTTTTGGCTCTCGTGGCGACCAATCGTGGCCACCCACTGATGACTAGATTGGCGCCCGCGGGTGGCAACAATCGGCGACTATGAGGGCCAGCTACCATGGGACAGTTGGACAGCGCCCAGCACCCACAGCGCGGGCGAGAATGGCAAACACGTCGCCACAAAGCGACGGGAGTGGGAGGCCAATCCCTGCCTCGCACTCCCACTGCTTTTGGCCCTCGCTGCCACCAACTGTGGCACCCCGTGGACGCATAGATTGGCAACCATAGGTCTCAAAGCCAAGGCCAGATTCCAGCAGTCAGTCGAAGATCGTGCGGTGACCAGTGCGTGGGAGAAAGTGCTGAATGCGTCGCCATAAAATGATGGGAGTGGGAGGCCAATCGCCGGCCCCCACTCCCTTGTTGCAGGTTGTGCCTCAATTTGCCAATTTTGGCTGTGGCAACCTATGTTCAAGGGCGCCCAATGCCCAGCTAAGGTCGACCATTTTGGCACCCTTTGGCATTTGTTTTGGGCGAGCAAATGCTCCAAGCGCCGGCAACAGCTGGCGCTAGAGATCGCCTGCCTTTCTGGGATCGGCTGGCAGCGGTGATCGCCTGCCATGGCGTCGGTCAAGCGGGGGTCAATCTCCAGTCTATCTCAGGGTCGCCAAGGCACTGGCAGCCAGCGCCTGAGCTGTGCCACTTTGTTGCTTCGCCCGCGGGCCTCCCAGCACCAACACCTCCTCGCCCACACTATCCCGGTCTTTTGCTATGCTTTGTTTTTTGTCGTTTGACAGACCAGTGCGAATGAAGGAAAACGGCCAAAACAACAGCGTATGATTGCCACGGTGCAATCCATGCACCAATTGGCGCACCAACTGGCGACCGATTCAAGCACAGGTTGGCAGAACAATCACCTCATCAAATAGGCCACTAATTAGTGCACTGATTCTTGCATTGATTGGTACACTATTTCATGCACCAATTGGTGCGCTTAACTTGATACTAAAAATCCAATCCAGGTTAGTTCATGCCGATTTCCTTGCCGTTAACCTGTTCAACTCATCTTCAAACTCGTTTATAATCAACGGCCTCTCAAGGCCTTCAACCATCTGGATAGGCCGTACGATCACCTGATGCCCTAACGTCTGGTTAATCAAGAGAACGTCGCATGCATAGCACGTGCGGATGTCCGAGCTTGTAAGATAACTAATAAAACACTTACATTACATATAAAGACCCCACTACCAATCGGATATGGTGATATATTGTGCGCCTGACACAAATAGATGCATGCAATGGTTGTGCTCTGCCTTGCAGCACATCTAAGGGAAGAGGAACACACCAATAGGAGTGGGTTACACAGGCAATGGGCAACATAACTTGCCCTTGTCAGAGATGAGAACAGGCTGCTTCTGAAGCATCAAAGCAACAAGGGGCAATCTAACTGTGGGTGCAGTGCAACTGCAACTGCACACCACGCCTCGCTGCACAGCGCCGTGGATTTATGTGCCATTGGTTGGCTTCGGGTTAAAGGTTCCTGGGCACTTTAGGACTGCTCAAGCTTGCAGATATGACCAAGTTGAGTGCCAAAGGATAATACCAGCCGCTGGTACACACAGAGTGACGATTTTCAGTCTTGCAGCTCCCGCCAGTCTGATAACCAACGACAGCAGCCCTCTCCCAGGCCAGCATACGCCCCAAGGCCAGGGCAAGGGTATTAATCGCCCGCCAGGAGCGCCCCCCCCCCTTTTCACTGTGCCGCCCATGCTACCAGACGCCGCCATGAGTCCAAGCGCGCCCCGCCCGAGGCGCGAGGCGCGAGGATCGGCCGCCGCCACCAAAGCCTTGCCTACCCATCCCGTGTCTCACCTTCCTGGGAGGAGTCGATCCCCGCTCGCTGCTGCCGACAGTACAGCCCCGTGCCTCCCGCTTTCTGCACACAAGCCCACGCGCGGCGGTCAGCGGTCCTCCACAAACCAACGCGCCGCGCCGTCCGCCGCCAAGCCCGCTTCCCCACCCAAACCCCGTCGCCAATGGCCACAGCAGCCCCCGAGAGCCAGCCACCAGTCAGACACCCCCTTGCCCGCCCAACCCCCAACCCCCTTCCCTTTGTCGACCCTTTCCGGTGCGGGGAGCCGCTTTGGACACAATGCACTGCCCATCAATCCCAATTTTTCCCTGGCTGAGGCCACCGAGGACCCCAAAATCAAAGCCCCGGCCCACTCACCAGGTGCTCCTCGTTCAGGAACTGGCGCAGCGCCCACTTGGGCACGGCGCCCTCCGGCGCGCCCGCCTGCCCGTCCAGCCACGCCGCCGTCCTCTCCTACAAAACCCACCACACGCCAAGGTCAAAACTAAGCCGGTGCATCCCAACCCCCACATCACCACAAAATTCGATCACATCAAAGCGCGCCGCGCCGCACGAGCCACCCCAACGCCACAGCACCCCACTCCCCCACCCCCCACCTCCCATCCCTTGAAAAGAAAATGATCCATCGATTCCCCAGGCGGCCGGGTTTTGGACACAATTTCGAACTTTCCCCCCTCCCCGCCCTCGCGCGTGCCCCGCCTTCCCGCGCTTTTCGCCCCGATCGCAAAACCGCCCACCAGTGAGGCCCTGGCCGCCGCGGATGCCGCCGCGCGCTGCTCCTTCTGCGCCTGCGTGAAGAGGTGGCTCACGGCGTTGGCGGCGCCCACGAAGGCGTGGTACAGCCCGCTGTCCTCTTCGGGCTGCATCTCCTGCTTCCGTTTCTTCGCCATCGGCCGGCCGCGAGGCCAAACAAGAATTCACAGGCCCCTGGATCCTTTGCGGTGGAGATGGCGATCGGCGAATCGCTGCGGGCGTGGGGAGGCAGGGAAAGTTCCGCGAGGCTGGCGGGCGAGGGGGGACAGCAGGGGGAAGGGGTGGTTGGGGGGCAAGTGGGGTTGGGGTGGGAAGATGATCCGCGCTGGGCGGGGCGCTGGGGATTTGCTGGGAGCTTGACGAGCGTTAATGGGTTGGTAATGGGGCCGCAAGGGGGGTCCAAACGCGGCCTGTGTGCCGTAGATGTTGTTTGTGTCATTCTTTTTGCGGAAATGACATAAAAGGGGGTTTCTTTTTCCGACAATGGATTGCTCCTTTTGCGGGGTGCCGGCCATTTCGTCTAAAGACAACTCGCCTAATGAACAAGTGGTCTAAGGACATTACGTCTAATGGACAACTCGTCTAATGGACAAGTGGTCTAAGGACATTGCGTCTAATGAACAACTCGTCTAAAATTCCGATGACCCAACTTGGTTTATTTATATTCGCATCGCACTTGCTTACACCTCACTTGTTCAATGCATTCCCCTGAACCCAAAACCAACTCACTCATATCTGCATTTCAACTCAAACTGTTGCCCGATGGCCCTCACTCGTTCAGCACATTCCCCTAAACCCCAAAACCAACTCATTCATATTTGTATTCCAACTCAAGCTAGTTTCCCAAGTGCTACGTGAAGGTTGTTGGTGTGGGGCTCCTGCCCTCTTTGAACCGCGGACCCGCCTCGCCAGGCACCTAGGTCCTTACGGGGACCTATGCGGGACCACCCCAACCTATTCCCATATCGTATAAGTGGTTTGGGGATATTTTACCATACCTTGGGCAAGGCGTCCCCCACACCAAGGGGCCGTTAGTAGGGCGTCCCCAACATCAAGCCGGTGTGCGTAACATTCGTCCCCCTTAGGGAGGTGGGACGTCCCCATCCCAATACGGTGATATGGGAGCAGATGCATGCGTGGCCGGTAGGCCTGCTGATGTAGGAGCTTCGTTGCCCCCGCGGGCGCACAGGTCGGATGAACGGAGAGTCAACCAGACCCCCGGGGCATGACATTAAAAGGCTTTGATTGTACATCAGTTAAATTATCCGTTTGATTGTCCTTTGCACTCGAGTGTCTCACAACTCAACCCTTAGGTTGCTATCAATTAAATGTTTCCATGTACTATATCTACAAAAGCAACCGTATCAATTCTCCCCCCCCACCAAGTGTGGCCTAGAGGTGGCCACCCGGATCCGTTAATAGCGGACAGAGGTTAATTTCCGTTAATTTTCCATTAATTAACGGAAAATAACGAAAAAAGACAAAAATCAACCAAAAATTAACGGATTTTTGGATTTTTTGGGGATTTTCGGGTTTTATTCATACTTATAGTTTATGGAATTCGCTATTAGAGAGTATGTTTGTATTTTATTTCAACCTATGCATACTAGATTTTCAACTAGCCGCAGTTGTTGTGATTTTTTGGGTTTTTTTCGATTTTTTTAGATTTTTTTTATTTTTTCTGAATTTTTCTCCCTTTTTCTTTAACGGAATTTAACGGACAGCTGATAAAAATTAACGAATAAAATTTAGCGGACCGGATGGCATCTTTGAGTGGCCACCTCTAGTGTGGCCGTCCTCGGCCATGAAACCAACGACTCAGAAAACCAGCAAGAAAGAAAATAAGGCATACCTAACAGAAATCCACAATAAGTCAGACTAGCCGTGTCCCATACCACGATCCAACTCACAATGAACCCCTGCTATCCATGTGTCCACGCAGTCCATCACTTCTTTCGGCGACTCTGTCTGGTCTTCTTGATTGCCCCTTGTCGTTGTAGCCTGAGGAGGTATTCTGTAACGAGGTCCGAACAATGCGTGAGGTTGGCCTCTGGCTCCCAGGTTGCTTTATGAAGCTCATAGCCTTTCCAGGCTACCAAATACTGTCTTTTGGAAACGCTGCCACGATGTCTGATGATCGCCTCAACCTCAAACTCTTGCTCGCCCTCTACCTCTAGTGACTCTGGAGGCGAACTAACTGTGTGCTGAAACTCTTCACTGCACTCAAACTTCTTCAGCTTCTCGACGTGGAAGGTCGGATGAATACGCCAGTTGGATAGTAGTTGGAGAGTGTATGCAATTGGGGAAACTACCTTCACCACCTAAAAAGGTCCAATGTAATGACGCCTGATCTTCACTAGAATATGCTTGAAAGCTGTGGAGGGCAAAAATGTTGTTCTCACCACAACTTCATCTCCAAGCTGAAACTGTACATCACGACAACGTTTGTTGGCAATTGTAACCATCCTCTCTTGTGCTCTCTCATAATGCTTCACAGCACTAGACACCACTTTTTGCATCCTACTGACCATAGCATCCACTGACTCTACCCTTGTGTCAATTGTCTTCTCGGCCATAAGTCCCACTGTAGCCTGTACATGCTGCCCATACATCAAATAAAACGGGCTATATACGGTCGCTATGTTGATAGCATTCCTCACTACAAATTCTGCCAAAGGAAGGTAGGTACTCCACTCCTCTAGATGCTCTTCAACGTATGGCCTCAAGAAATTCTCCAGCGTGCGTATGGAGACCTCGGACTGACCATCTGTCTCCGGATGGTACGCGGTGGACATGCGCAAGTTGGTGCCAAGAAATCTGAATAGCTCCTGCCAGAACTTACTCAAAAATTTGGGGTCCCTATCACTGATGATAGCACGAGGTAGACCTTAAATCATGAAGACATTGTCGAAAAACAGCCTCGCGTACCCCACTGCATTCAACTCTTTTCGGCAAGGAACAAAGATGACAAACTTGGTGAGTCTATCCACAAATACTGCAACAGCTATATGTCCATGTGATTTAGGTAAATCCGTCACAAGATCAGTGGTAATCTGTTCCCACTTAGCTGTTGGAACTGGAATCGCCTGCCGAAGTCCTTTTGGTGCTTGATTCTCTGACTTGAACATTTGGCACTTCAGGCAGGTTCTGATATAGTCCCTCACTGATTGAGGAATCCCCTTCCACCAGTAAACTCGCTGCAACATCTCCAGCGTCCTCTCAACACCCAAGTGTTCAGCTGTCGGTACATCATGGTGCTCCTCAAGAATATGTTGCTGCTAACTAGTGGGAACCACAATCCTGTGCTCGTTCCCTGCTGCTTGATAGTATAAAATCCCTCTCTGGTCTACTAAGTAACCCCTCACAACCTGTCCCATGCTGAGCTTCACCAACATATCACGAGTACCTGCATCTGTGTTCAGTGAATGCAACCATGCCTCTTGTTATGAATCTTCAACACAAGGTACTGCTGCAGACTGAACTCTGGCAACTGAATGAGGATGAGTCTGAACTGTGAAACTGTGGGAGAGTGCATCTGCCATAACATTGGCCTTGCCTGGTATATACTTCATCACTAGCATGATGCTCTCGAAGTATCCACTCTTCAGCCAGCGCGCCTGAGTGCGAGATATAGTCTTTTGCTCCATAAAGGTAGTAGTAGTTGGCTGCTGATCTGTCATCACAGTAACACCTCCAACACATCCTTCCAGGTAGTGTCTCCATTGTCTAAGGGCGTATGAAATCCCCAGCATCTCTTTGTCATATGGAGAGTACCTGGTCTCTGCAGGACGCAATCTGCATGAAAGAAAGGCTATAGGCTGGTTGCCTTTACCCTGGTTCTGCATAATTACAGCTCCAATCGCCACTCACTCCCGTCGGTCACCACCAAGTAAGGAAGACTGGGATCAGGAAGAATCAAAACTGGAGCAGTAGTCAATGCTCTCTTCAAATCTTCAAATGCCTGCCCCTGTCTGGATCCCCAACGCCAAACAATATTCTTCTTGGTCAAGTCGTGCAATGGTCCAGCTATGTCTACAAATCAGCGTATTTAGCGTCGATAGAAGTTGACCATGCCCAAGAAGCTGCGTATATCTGTAACAATCTCCAACTTCTTCCAATGCTGAATAGCACGAATCTTAACTGGCATAGGTGAAACACCATCCCCCCAAATCCAATGACCAACAAAATTAGTACTGCTCACAGCGATCTGTGTTTCACTCGCTTTGGCAAACAACTTGTGCTCCTTCAGACGAGCCAAAACTATTCTCAAGTGCTGCTGATGTTCTTCCATATTCCACGAGTAAATTACAAGATCATCAAGGAATACGATCAGAAATTTGTCCATCATATCACAAAAAATATCATTGACCATCGCCTGAAATTGTGGAGGTGCGTTGGTCACTCCGAATGGATAAACAAGAAATTCAAACTGCCCATATCGACATTTAAAGGCAGTCTTCTCCACATCATGTTCCTTGATTGGCATCTGCCAGTATCAACTATGCAGGTCCAGTTTCGAAAATACCTTTGCTCCAGCCAGCCTGTCCATGAGCTCCTCTAGAAGCGGCAATGGGTACTTGTTCTTCTTGGTGACTTTGTTGAGCCACCTGTAGTCCAGGCACATCCTCAATCCTCCATCTTTCTTGGGGGCAAAGATAATGGGTGCTCCCCAAGGTGACTCTGATGGACGTGCATATCCTTGCTTCAACAAGTAGTCCAGCTGACGCTTCACCTCCTCCAGCTCCAAAGGACTGAGCTTGTAGAGTGGGCGGCTGACTGGCTGAGCTCCGTCTTCTAACTCAATATCAAACTGGTGACCATTCTGCACTAGCGGAACACCTGCTGGTAGATCCTTTGCGAAGACCTCATTGTACTCGTCAAGTGTTGTAATGATCTGCTCCGGTAGTTCAAGACGCTTCAACTTGTTCACATCTGATCCCTCCTGATCTTCTGGGATCGTCTCTACATGGATGCTATCATCATCGACTGGCCACTGAATGGGTTGTCCTCTAATGATGTCTTCTGCTGGTTTGGACAACTGGCCGTTGGTAGTGCCACATAATCCTATCCCTGTAAGACCTGAATCCTGCCTGACCGGAAATCAATATAGGGGTTCTCCTTAATCAACCAAGGCAAA